TTGTTCAGCATTCATGATGTCCTGTGTTTGATCCCTCACACTTTTTTTTTGTCTTTATGGAATTTTTTTTTATTTTTATTTTATTTTCCAGTTTAAATTTAGATAAGAATCAAGGTTGCTTCACAAGTCAGTTCCAGGTCCCTCTCCCATTCCCTCCCTTCCTCCCGTGCCCTCCCCCCCCCCCCGTTATCCCCTCATTTCTCCAGGGAGGGTGAGGCCCTCCATGGGGGTGTCCATAGTGTGTCATTTCATATAGGGCAGGGCCTAGACCCTTTCCCAAGAGTTCAGGGTGAGAGTGCACCTCACATTGTTCTATTGGAGTCCAAAGTCCGTGTGTATACTTGGGATGGGTACTGATCTGCTGCCCAAGGCTCAATAGAATCCCTAGGCCTCTTCACTGACACCCAGATTCAGGGGGTCTTGATCAGTCCCATGCTGGCTTCCCAGGCTAATGCCTGGGATTCAAGAGTTAACCTTTGTCTGGTTAGCTGTTTCTGGGGGTTAGACCAGCCCAGTCTTAATCCCTTTGATCATCAGTCCTCCCTCTCTGTTACTGGCTTTCTTGAGTTCAGCTCAGTACTTAACCAAGGGGAGTCTGCTTCTTCTTCAATCAGCCACTAAATAAAGTTTCTGTTTCCCAGACTCTCTGGCCATAGAATTGTAGGCTGGCACTCCCCAGATCTATGTCTAAAATCCATATATGAGAGAGTACATGCCATGTTTCTCTTTTTGTGACTGGGTTACCTCACTCAGGATGGTTTCTTCTAGTGTCATCCATTTGCCTGCGAATCTCATGATTCCATTATTTTTTTCTGCTGAATAGTACTCCATTGTGTAGATGTACCACATTTTCTCTATCCACTCTTCAGGTGAGGGACATCTAGGTTGCTTCCACGTTCTGGCAATTACAAATAAAGCTGCTATGAACATAGTGGAACAGACATCTTTGTTGTATGAATGGGCATCTTTTGGATATATGCCTAAGAGTGGAGTTGCTGGGTCTTGTGGTAGGTTTATTCCCATTTTTCTGAGGAATCTCCACACTGATTTCCAAAGTGGCTGGACCAGTTGGCACTCCCACCAGCAATGGAGGAGTGTCCCCCTTTCACCACATCCTCTCCAGCATAAATTGTCATTGGTGTTTTTGATTTTAGCCATTCTGATAGGGGTGAGATGGTATCTGAGAGTTGTTTTGATTTGCATTTCCCGGATGGCTAAGGATGTTGAGCACTTTCTCAAGTGCCTCTCAGCCATTTTAGACTCCTCTATTGAAAACTCTCTATTTAGTTCTGCAGCCCACTTTTTAATAGGGTCCTTTGGTGTTTTGGAGACTTGCTTCTTGAGTTCTTTGTAAATTTTGGAGATCAACCCTCTGTCAGATGTGGGATTAGTGAATATTTTTTCCCATTCTGTGGGCTGCCTTTTTGTCTTGCTGACTGTGTCCTTTGCCTTACAGAAGCTTCTCAGTTTCAGTAGGTCCCATTTATTGATTGTTGATCTTACTGCCTGTGCTACTGGTGTTATGTTCAGGAAGCTGTCTCCTGTACCAATTCGTTCAAGGGTACCACCCACTTTCTCCTCTAAGAGGTTCAGTGTGGCTGGATTTATGTTGAGGTCTTTGATCCATTTGGACTTAAGTTTTGTGCATGGCGATAGACATGGATCGATCTGCATTCTTCTACATGCCAGTCTCCAATTATGCCAGCACCATTTGTTGAAGATGCTTTCTTTATTCCATTGTATATTTTTAGCTTCTTTGTCAAAGATCAGATGTTCGTACGTGTGTGGGTTAATACCCGGGTTTTCAATTCGATTCCATTTGTCTACCTGTCTATTTTTGTGCCAATACCAAGCTGTTTTCAGGACTATAGCTCTATAATAGAGCTTGAGGTCAGGGATGGTGATGCCTCCGGATGTTGCCTTGTTGAACAGGGTTGTTTTGGCTATCCTGGGTCTTTTGTTTTTCCATACAAAATTGATTATTGTTCTTTCAAGGTCTGTGAAGAACTGTGCTGGGATTTTAATGGGGATTGCATTGAATCTGTAGATTGCTTTTGGCAGGATTGCCATTTTTACTACATTGATCCTACCTATCCAAGAGCATGGGAGATCTTTCCATTTTCTGAGGGCTTCTTTAATTTCTTTCTTTAAAGATTCAAAGTTCTTACGATACAGGTCTTTCACTTGTTTGGTTAGCGTTACCCCAAGGTATTTTATGTTGTTTGTGGCAATTGTAAAGGGTGATGTTTCTCTGATTTCTCTTTCAGCCCTTTTATCATCTGTATATAGTAGGGCTACTGATTTTCTTGAGTTGATCTTGTAGCCTGCCACTTTGCTGAAGGTGTTAATCAGCTGTAAGAGTTCCCTGGTAGAGTTCTTTGGGTCATTGATGTAAACTATCATATCGTCTGCAAACAGTGAAAGTTTGACCTCTTCCTTCCCAATTTGTATCCCCTTGGTCCCCCTTTGTTGTCGTATGGCAATAGCTAGAACTTCAAGTGCCATGTTGAAAAGGTATGGAGAGAGTGGACAGCCTTGTTTTGTTCCTGATTTTAGAGGAATTGCATTGAGTTTCTGTCCATTTAGTTTGATGTTGGCTGTTGGTTTACTGTATATAGCTTTTATTATGTTTAAGTATGTCCCTGTTATCCCAGATCTCTCCAAGACCTTTATCATGAAGGGGTGTTGGATTTTGTCAAAGGCTTTTTCAGCATCTAGTGAGATGATCATGTGACTTTTGTTTTTCAGCTTGTTTATATGGTGGATTACGTTGATGGATTTTCGTATGTTGAACCATCCCTGCATTCCTGGGATGAAACCTACTCGATCGTGGTGAATGATTGTTTTGATGTGTTCTTGGATCCGATTTGCCAGTATTTTATTGAGTATTTTTGCATCAATGTTCATGAGGGATATTGTTCTGAAGTTCTCTTTCTTAGTTGTATCTTTGTGTGGCTTGGGGATCAAGGTTATTGAAGCCTCATAGAAAGAGTTTGGCAAAGACCCTTCTGCTTCTATTGTGTGGAACACTTTGAGAAGAATTGGTATAAGCTGTTCTTTGAATTTCTGGTAGAATTCTGCACTGAGGCCATCTGGACCTGGGCTTTTTTTGGTTGGGAGACTTTTGATGACAGCTTCTATTTCCATAGGGGTTATAGGTCTATTTAAATTGCTTATCTGTTCTTGATTTAGTTTTGGCAATTGTGGTTTAATCACAGCATGTAGAGGTAGGTAGATCAGGAGTTCAAAGTCACCCTCAGATACATAGAAAGTCTGAGTCCATACTAGGCTATTGATATCTAGCCTCCACACCAAAAGAGCAAGTAAGAACATTGTATAATCTCTATACTGCATTTTTGTTTAATTTTGATCATTTAACTTGTAAATTAATGTAACCACCAGTACTTTTTTGCGACAGAGTATTACTATGTAGTCTTGTCTAGCCTATAAATTTGCCATGTAGACCAGGATTGCCTACATGGAGATTACCCTACCTCTGCCTCCTAAGTGCTGAGACTAGAGGCCTGTGCTACCTTGCCTGGTAACCACTAGCACAGAAAATAAAATCAAGTTAAGACAAAAAAAACAAGTAAGAAACTCTAGAAACAAGAGAACTATCTTAAAATAGAAGTACTCAAAATTGGGCTCCATTACAGACAAACTGTGAAAGAGATTTGAATATCCAGTGGTGGTTAGACTGGGTCACCATTACGATCCCATCTCAACTTATAGTCTTTATTTCCATTATCCACTTGTGTATTCTATAGAGAGCCTCATACATAAGTGTTTGATAAAATTCATTCACATTACAATAGAAATAACATGAAAGAACAGCCTACTTACTTTCATAGGCTATGATTTGAATAAATACATCCTAAAATTTGAACGTATAAAAGCAGTTTGTTGGCTGAGACCATATCTAGTTAATAGAGTGTTTGGCAAACATGCACAAGGTCTTGGGTTCAATCTTTGGTGCTGGTAATAAATAAACAAATAGTATTAAAAAGAAAATTTGTTTGATAAAAAGAGCAAGAAAACTTGGTTCCTTCATCTCTATCTATAACATAGGGTCAGTCAACTAATGTCTATTAGGATGGGCAAAAAGTGTCAACACACAAAGGAAAAAGAAGAAAACAGTTTTCTAATATTTTTTGCCCAGTTGAGGAACTCATTCATATTTAAACATTCATTAAATTTCCAAATATTGCCATCATAGAATGTGCTGTTTAGGACTGTACTTTTCAGTCCCAACAAAGAAACCTCTTGAGGAAATAGAAAAATGAAAACTTTAGCTGCCTTATGCCATTCTCATTCAAGATTAATGTTCACCCAGGATCTTCTCACATTCCAAAAATCTCCCTGGAAAACATCTGCCAAGAAAATATCCTAAAAGCCAGTAACAGCAAAAATGTATCTATATGGACAGAAACCTGCCTATCTTGGGGAATCTATGCACAATCAACAATAACACATTTCAGTAATATCTCTATAGTTAGTTCCTATGTCACCTTGTGGCTAGTTTTTCTTAATCAACACGTGTCAAAATTAGCAATCTGTCCTGAAATACAGAACTACAGCATAGTTTACAAAGTGAAGAAGTGTTTGCTTAATAGTTTTGATGTAATTGCAGCAGTTGGTGATCGGTCATGTGAATATTTGATCCCAGATGTGGCAACAGGAAAGACTGAATGGCAATAATATGGTAAATTAATGATGGAAATAAGAAACCCTGCCCTTTAGTGGAAATTTTCTATGTCTGCTGATTGATAAGAAATGAAAGACAGAAAAGTAGTGTTCTGGAAAACAAAACCCAGGATGAATAAGTCATAAAGATCCTTTACCTCCCCTGACAGTCTAACCCAGGTGCTGAAAGACGGCACAAGGGGACATGAGCTCCCTTGTTCAAGTGCCATATTGTTTGTGGGCTGGATGATCCTGGTCTCACTGAGTAGAGTACATATCTGGCTCATGAGAAAAAAGTTGGTGTCTGAGCAGAGGCCATGGAAGCTAGCATCCAACTCGTGCAGGTCATTCAAGAAATGCGGGTAGAAATAGACAGACTAGAGAAAGAGAATCATGCCCTCCGTGTGAAGCTGACTTCAATTAGTCAGACAGTCTCTGGCTCAGAGAAGGAACCAGAAGATGAGACAGAAGAAGCAGTGTATGGGCAATCTCCGGGGGTCCTGTCTGGTGGTATTCACACTGATTCTACACCAGCTATGCAAGAACAAGGTACCGAACATATGTGGCTCTTCTGGACTATGCTTACCTTTTCAGGTATCTCCCAAATGACTGATTTGTTGGACTACTACAATAGATTCATCATTTGGTACTCGCAGTGATGGGTTTCAGCCTTTTCCTCCTAACAAATGAACTTAGAAGTCCTAGTCAAAATTTCCTTTAGGTTCTCTGAGCCATATATTTCAATAACAATAAAATGACTTAGAGTGTACCAGGAAAGATAAGAAAGATGTGTAAAAATCAGTCACATTCAGAAGTTTTCTTCCACTTTGACTATAACTATATAGATTCTGCAAATGTAGAACAATGAAGGTGCATGTTGATTGGCATGATCATTTATTAAGATGGAATAGCTTTTTAAGTGGGTTAGCTTATGAATCAAAATCAGACAAATGTGCTCCTCCATGATTTGTTACTCAGACACTTGACTCTGGCCTCCAAATTAGACCCCTTGAATCTTCTCCACCTGGAAGTACTGTAGAGAATACTTCTGTGCTGATGACAACTATTTGCAATAATAAGTAGTACCTGAATGTATGCAACAATGACAGGCATTATCTCTTCTCCTCTTTCTATAATGTGTGCATTCATTGCACACAATTCAACAGATAGATTGTATATTCATATATATATTCATATACATATATATATTACCTCATGATGCAAGGTTAAAAGTCAAATCTCATTTTTCACAGGAGACACTTAATTCCATGATTACCTAAAATGTTGGAATCAACAGTAAGAAACATGTTCTACATTTCAGTTGTCAGTGCTCACCTTCAACAGCGTATTCAAATAAAAATGATATGCATAATTAACTACTCATAGCTCTTAATATCACCCATCAAAGACTTCAGGCAATGCCAATTAGAGGCTGGGAACAGTTTGACAGTGGAACATGTCACATATGCTGGTTGATCTTATTAGAGATGTCTCTTTCTAATGATGAGGGAAAGCATTTCAAAGCTGCAAATGCATTAGTATCTGAATCTGAGAAACTCTACTGATTATCTTTTTTAAAAACTATAAAAGAATAACCTATAAGAATACACTTCTTTATTGGAAAACAGGAAGAAAATATATGGATATATGTAATATATCCTGCTACAGGATTTCTAATTCCCAGCAGTAGTGACCTTTTGTATTGATTAATTCTTCATTGTCAAGGTCAGTCTGGATGCTATATGTTATGAGATCCTCAAGGGTCCTCTCTCCCCAAGGTTATATAAACAGTAAGCACTGTTGGGGAAAGAGGAAGGTCCTAGTTTGCTTTCTGTTGCTTTGATAAATACCATTGTCTAAAGCAAATTGGAGAGGAAGGGGTTTATTTGGTTTATACTTCCATATTACTATCTATCATTAAGGGAAGTCAGGAAAGGAACCCAAGCAGGAGCCTGGAGGCAAGAATTGAAGCAGAGTCTATGAAGAAATGCTGTTTACTGTCTTTCTCCCCCTGGTTTACTAAGATACCTCTGTTATACAGCCTAAGCCCATCTATTCAGGGATGGTGCTGTCCACTGTGGCCCAGGACCTCCAACATCAATCAACAGTCAAAAAGATGCCAGGACCAATAGGATGAAAGACATTACTCACTGAGATTTCTCTTCCCACAGATGACTAGGTTTGAGTCAGTTGGCAGCTGGGGCTATGATAAGAGGACTGCCCAACCTCTCAAGTTGCTCACTAGTCATGCTAACTGCTAATGGCTGCAGCTTTCATGAGCCATCCCCCATGCTAGGGTAGGCTTTCCACTGATCCAGCTGCCTTTGGGTCAGCCATGCTCCTCTATGTAATCCTAATAAGCTCTCTGGTTCCACAAGATGGAATTTGATAGAACTGTTTGTTGTGGGTTTGGTTTTGATATCTCAGGCGAATGGTCAGTTGTTCAATCTCCTCAGGAAAACTCACACAACAGTACCTTCACATAAAATCTATGATTATATCCTGCTCTCCAGCTAAAAGGTTTTTCTCAGATCTACGTTTTCAGTGAAATATGTAGTCTTTTAAGAATAGAACCATATCATCTACCCTAGAAATAATTTGGCTTTTGTATAATAAAAATGAATAAAATTGTGTCATTTTCAGGAAATGACTGGAGCTAGAGATCATCAATTTAAGTGAAATAAACCAGAGTCAGAAAAGCAGATACAAAGTGGTTTCCATAATTTTTGGAGTCTAGACCTTTAAAAAATCCCTGTGATGTGAAAATAGAAGGGAGCCTGTTCAGAAAAAAGTAATAGGATCTACAGGAGGGCACGTGGGGGTAATGAACAAGCTGAATTCAATACATAGGAACACATTAGAATTACATCTTGAAGCTCATTATTTTGAACAATGAGTATACAATCTTTTTAAGTATCATGTGTAAAGCTTTGTAAGTCTGAGGACCTAAGTTCAAACCCCAGAATCTATGTTAGAAAAAAAGCCTTGTGTGGTGGGGTGCACTGTAAAATCAGCACTGGAGAGACAATGACAGATGGGTATTTGGGGTTCATTGGGAGGGAGGGAGGGAGAAAACGATGGGCAGCATCTGAGGAACAATACCCACGATCATCCTTTGGCCTCCATATGTACATGTAGACATACACACACAAATAAACAAACACATATACACACATACACACATGTACATATACACACATATACAGACACATGCACACACAAGAGCACTGTAAACACACAGACACATACATATATGTATATACACACACACACACTCACAAATTGTGGGGGGGAAATCAGTTGCACAAGATATGTTCCGAGGCCTCTACCAACAGTGAAATTCTTGGTTCTGTGGATCTATTATTGTACACTTGCTTCACCTGTACTGTAAGGATAGTTACAGACCTTATCTCATGGACTCAAGAGAGGATTAACTAAAGCAATACAAGCAAGATCTATGTGAATTTTTCAGTGATAGTTGACAAAAAGAACATTAGCTATGCCAAGAGAATATTATTTCTTGACTTGCATACAAGTTTATATTGAAGGTTTTAATGACATGTTGCCAGCACCATTTGAAATTCAAACTTGCAATTGGACCCTAGAAATCTATTACATATGAATCTTGGAGTGTGTCCCATAAAACTTCCCTTATTTTACAGATAAGACTATAAAACACAGAACATTTAAGAAAGCACTGTCCCCAATACATCTCTGAAAACAGAATCTTACAAAATTACCCCTTGATAACTAGATACCATAAAACAGAAGTATGTGTCTCTCTTCAAGAAAGAAAGCAACTCAAAGGACCGGCGAACAAATCACTTGGACCCACAAGTTCTTTCTGATGTTGTGTGATAGATACCAGGAGAAAAACAAAGGAGACATTTTGTGAGTAGAGTTACCTTCTTCTTCTAGTGCCTGAGGCCAAGAACTGAGCTACATATGGCTCAGTGGTACACCTGTTGGTGACAGAGTACCTACTCAGAATGAATTCTCCTTGGATAAAACATGTTTGTAGAAACATCTGCATTGCATAGGTTTTGATGGATATAAAAATCTAGCACTTTGCAGAATGTCCCCTGTTTTTCCTGCTCTGCACAACCTCACCTTGTGGCTACTATGAGTGTTATAGTTTGCAATGGGAAAGATAAAAGAAACATCTCTGGGAACTCCCAGCAATGCAGGACCCTGATTCTTTTCAATCTGCTCATAGCCTTTATTGGCAAGTAAACTGAATTTGGCAGTGATCTTTGACATTGGACTAATGGTCCTGTGATGTTGTATTGAATATTTCTTCTCTTGTGTTGATAAGAAAGAAAAGAATAATTTGTGACTCATGGAGATGAACGAAGAGCTTATTTGATGATTAGTCCCTCATTAAGTGTAGGTCTCAAATAAAATAAATTCAGCTTGGCCATAAGTGGCATAATTTCCCATGGAGGTTCCCTGGGACTCAGGATAGTTTCCTAATTCTTTTAAACAGAAACTTTTATGTTTCTCTTTCTAAAACTGTTGGGTATATAATTACACATGATATACAATACAGCCCTTGGAAGGGCTTAGAGATGATTTGTGAATGGCATTTGCAGTCAATCACTTCAGATAAATTTGCACATATATGCCCTAAACTCTTACCTAAAATTGCATCTTCTGATCTTGTAAACTATGCAAAGCTAGGTCAGCCTCCACTTGTTTGCAATGTCATAACACTTTCTGTCTTCTTCCTATAATGACAGGTAGCAATATAAATAATTGTGATTCTGGCAGTCTCAAAACATAAACACATTGCATAGCTTCTTTTTACAATTCTGTGCTAGCTAATAGAGTTATAGCAAGCAACATAAAGATTCAACAAGCAGAAAGGGTCTTGAAAAATGAAAATCAACCCATGAGGTCAATGTTGACCTCATAAGTGACAACTGATGTTCAAGCAGAGGTCAAATGATTAGCCTTAAGTCAAAGAGTTAAGAGGGATTCAAAGAAATCAAGATTCCCTAAAATAAAGTTCTTTGAACCAAGGTTCTTGGTTTTTATAAGAAACAAGGAAGATTTGGTTCACTTCAAGGAAGAAATGAATTGGAAGACATTGATGGAAAGAAATTGACCTGCAGCTCTGTTCATTTTATATTTAAAATTCTACTACTATTTAACTGTATACATTTATGGAGCATACTATGATGAGTTTTACAGTTTTACAGATACGAGTCTTAATATTGTTAGTATAATTAGATTTATATCTCATGAAACACATTTTCAGTTTTATTAACATAATTGTACATATTTATGGGGCATATAATGAGATATTGATATATGTGTATATATATGTACACTATGTGCACTGATCAAATTAGGACAATTAACATTTCTGTATCTTCATTATTACTTCATGTTTGAAGTATTTGGACTCCTCACAATCTTCTAGTTAACCGTAAAAATCTACAGTAATCTAATGTGAACTAATTCTGTGTTCTTGAAGTTTTTTCTGACCACACAATTAAATGACCTCATCTCCTCCTTCATTTGTCTCTATCCCTTGCTTTCATCAGCTTTGTCTTCCTAGAATCTGTCGTCATCTGAATTGCATCATGTGTTGCCTGCTAATGGTGTGTTTTCTATGTGAGCTACACACTGTAACCTTGATGTAGGCACAATTTTCATGAAATTCACTACCCCATCTCTTGAAAAAGTGTCCAGCATGTGGCTATGATGGACTAACACTTGTATCACAAATCAGCAAATAGACAAATTTTTTTTGCTTCTCTGTATTGCTTTGGAGCCTGGCTTGGAACTTGCTCTGTAGACCAGGCTGACCTCCAACTCACAGAGATCTACCTGCCTCTACTTCCAGAGTGGTGGGATTAAAGGCTTTCACCACCAGTGCCCAGCTAGATTATCTTTTTTCAACATCAACTAAGTATGATCAACATAATTTTTCATTTGTGAGTATCTTTAAGGGTAGAATGTTTTTCAACTTGAATTTTGTGCTTTCTGTACAGGCAATGTCATGATTGTTAGACGCTACTCTGTTTCTCCATCGGTTCACTCATATGAAACAAATGACCCCTGGAAAGCTAGAAACAGACTTCCAGACATCATTGGAACATCATTGGCACATTCTTCAACTAGAAATCAAGACAATGGAGAAAAGATATTGGCCACAGATGCTTACAGCAGCTACAATTCCAGGCAGAGAGCTTCTTCTGATCACACTTTTGTTTGCAGGTAATGCTCACTGTGCCTCTGGTTAGCTTACAGGCACTGACTGAGGGGTCATCTAGCATCCTTCTAGACAAGTCAGATGTATCCATTGCAGGAAACAACACTAGAACACAAATAATTCCCATATCACTGATGTTCATGTAGGGAATCCAAAGAACAATTTGTGTGCGTTGATTTTTGTTATTTAAATTAGAAATAAGCTTGTTTCATATATCAATCCCAGCTCCCTCTCTCTCCCCTCCTCCCCTGGCCATCTCCAACCCCTGCAGCCTCCCACGCAATCCCCACTTCGTTCCCCAGAGAGAGTGAGGCCCTCCATGGGGGAATCTCCAGAGCCTGTCATTTCATCCAGGGCAGGGCCTAGGCCCTCCCCCATATGTCCAGGATGAGAGAATGTCCTTCCATGTGGAACGGGCTCCCAAAGTCCATTTGGATACCAGGGATAAGTAACTGATCTACTACCCCAGGTCCCATAGATTGCCAAGACCTCTTCACTGACACCCAGATTTAATGGGGTCTGGATAAGTCCCACATTTGCCTCTCAGCCATGAGTCTGGGATCCATGAGCTCCCCCTTGTTCGGGTCAGCTGTTTCTGTGGGTTTCACCAGCCTGGTCTTTGCCCCTTTGCTCATCACTCCTCCTTCTCTGCAACTGGGTTCCAGCAGTTCAGTTCAGTGTTTAGCTATGGGTGTCTGCCTCTGCTTCCATCAGCTACTAGATGAAGACTCTAGGATGGCATATAAGGTAGTCCTCAATCTCATTATTGGGGAAGGGCTTTTAAGGTTGCCTCTCCACTATTGCTTAGTTTTCCAGTTGGTGTCATCCTTGTAGATCTCTGGAAATCACACCAGTGCCAGATCTCTCCTCAAACCTATAATAGCTCCCTCTATTATCTCTCATCCTGTTATCCTCTGTTCTTCCCCCTACTCAACCTTCCTGCTCCCCCATCAAAAGAACAAATTTTAATGAGGTCGAATGGCACCTTCCAACAGACATCTGCAATAAGCAGAAAACTTAGTCTCTATTCCTTCCTCAAGTATTAATCATACTCCGAACCAGGTACTAGCACAAGACTTAGCGCAGTGAAGTCATGAGATGATGAAGACACACAGGCAAACTGACTACTCAGTAGTGTGTCTCGGGGTGAAGATTGGCTGCTTTAGGAGTTAAACACACAATTCCTTTCAGAGAGAGAAAGCTTCTCATGAAGGCAAATGTCTTCAAGGGGTGGGGGAGAAGATTAACAGAATAAACTGCTTAGGCATAGCCCCAAAGGTGCAAGAGTCAAAGGGAAGGTGCTCCCAAATGCACAAGATGTATTTAAGGAATGTCCTGATTTCAGTATGGCATGTTCCCCACAGTCACGGGTGCTGTACACTTGGTATCCCAGAGTGTGGCACTGTTCAGGGAGCTTGTGAAAACTAAAAATGGAACCTAGATTCAGGAAGTGAGTCACTGGGGTCAGTCTCTAGCCTCTTCCTGTAAGTTCTCTTTGGTCTGCCTGCTGTGATGTGAACAGCTGTCCCTTGTCATGCACCCCTGCCACCAAGATGTTCTACCCATGTAAATGTTATATATAAACTGGGCATAACCACTTCAAGGTACAGTTGACAAAAGGTTTTTATTGTAGAGGTGAGGGAGGGTACAGCCAAAGGCATCTGGGAGAGTCCAGAGCAGGGGGAGAAATTATTAGACTGAACAGAGCCAGCAGGATGGACTGGGCCATAGGGACGAGAGAGATATGGAGAGTGGGAAAATAATAAAGAGATGGCCAGGGGAGAGAGGCAAGAGAGAGGGGAGCAAGAAGAGAAGACAAAAAAAGAGGGTGTATCCAACTGGCAAACTAAGCAATAGTGGAGAGACTATATTAATAGCTCCTCCCTGATTATAAGGTTGATGACTTCCTTATATGCTATCCTAGAACCTTCATCCAGTGGCTGATGGAAGCAGAGACAGGTACCCACAGGTAAACACTGAACTGCACCCCTGGAACCCAGTGACAGAGATGGAGGAGTGATGAGCAAAGGGGTCAAGACCATGCTGGTAAAACCCACAAAGACAGCTTACTGGGCAAGGGGAAGCTCTTGAACCCCAGACTGATGGCTGAGAGGCCGACAGAGGACTGGCCCAGATTCCACGAATGCAGTGTCAGTGAGGAGGCCTCAGCAATCTCTGAGGCCTTGGGTAGTAGATCAGTGTTCACCATGGCATACAAATGAACTTTGGGAGCCCGTTCCACATGGAGGGATGCTCTCTAAGCCTGGACACATGGGAAACGGCCTAGTTCCTGCCCTGGATGAAATGACAGACTCTGGAGATCCCCCAAGGAGAGCCTTACCATCCCTGGGGAATGATGTGGGAATTGGGCTGGGGGCTGAGGGAGGACTGATGGAGGGACTAGGAAGGAGGGGTAGGAGAGGGAGCTGGGATTGACATGTGAAGCATGCATGTTTCTAATTTAAATAAAAACATATATTGAGGGGAAAAAGAGGGCGTATAACTGACATAGTGCATGGAAATGAACCACTGGAGGAGGGAAGCCTATGAACTGAACAAATTTAGGGTAGGAGCAAAGTAAGAACTGAGATGAGCCACAGGTACTTGTACTGAGGAAGCCTAAAGGCTTGCATGTGCTTTGCTATGCTATGCTAATAGGCACCACAGATTGCCATTTGTGCCTTCTAACAATGGTAAGGAAATAGCTCCTTTGGTAGAAGAGAATAAGCATAAGAATTTGGTGGAGTGGAGTTTCCTTTGAAAGTGATGGTAAAGATGTTATGCCCACCAACACTTGACAAGAACCTATGGACTTGAACCCTCTACAAACTGTGAACCAAAATGTATTTTTCTCCCTTCAGTTGTTTCAAGAAGTAAATAATGGGAGTTAGGAGTAGCCAGAGAAGTAGAAGAAGTTGAAATAATTGACAGATAAGCTAGGGGCCTTGAAGATGAAATACAGCTGGCAGCCAGTGCACAGGTAGGGTCAAGCGCCCCTTCAGAGCAAGAGTGTCCACTGTAAAGCCCGTCATTCAGGAGTATGGCTTCTTCCCCCCATGCTTCCATCCTGCCCCCAGTAAAGCTCTGATTCTGGCAATGTCTCCACACATCTGTCTTGTATGAGTCAAACAGAGAAATAAGGAAAAGGGAGTGTGGGTTTCATGACTGGCTTATCACAGTGAAGAAAGGGGGGAGGGAAATGTTGTATTGCTGAAAGAATACATGAATCATTGAATTTAGTGGTGGCAGGAAATCAAATCAAGAAATAACCACAGGCCTGCACGAATTCTTCTAAATATTGGAAAGAGCACAGACTTCTCACTGGGTGTGGGATGCAGAGGCCAAGGCACTTTGATTTCAAAGGACAGAAAACAAATTGTGTGTCACTTAGACAAAGTTCCACCAGAAAAATGGAGAGTTACCCTGAGTCAAAGATGGTTGGATTCAGTCAGACAAAGAAAAGTGGAAAAGTCATACCCATAGAACAACAACAACAATAAAAAAGGCATACACACAGACATACCACAACTTAGGGGAAAACGGTAGGAGTGGGATGGAGGATGAGATCCAACAGGATCCATCAGGGAAAGATGTTGGGGAAATGCAATGCAACACTACCTTGCTCCCTTAATTACTGGAAGTCTAGCTTTGAAATTTGTCTTGAAATTTTTAGATACAAATTCTCGGCAATATTTTAAACACCAGTGTACTCATCTATAAGAGTTTAGTATGGGAAGGCCTTTTGTGTCTGTCCCCTATCCTCCCTAGGGGTAAATGTCGTCATGAGTTTTGTTTTGATCCCTTCTGCCTATCCTATCCATCACTCAACAAATGAGTCCTAAGGTGCCACCTTCTGGACAGGATTCTGAACCCTACTACACAGCAGAGAGCAACTATCAAAAATCCCTTTTGGAGTGAGTTTCTTCAGAAAGGATCATCGATGAATGAGAATGCATGAAGTACGTATTACATTGATAACTACAGAGGGAAATAAGACAACAAAAAGAAGTGAAGGGTTATAGGAGTGACCATGTAAAACACTTGGTGCTGTGGTCAAAACCTGGAAAGGGAGAAAGAGAATGAACTCAAAGTACCTGAGAGGAGAACTCCCTGAGTGTTGAGACTAGCTAGATGCAAAAGTCCCAGTTAGGGGGATCTAAACTGGTGAGTTCAAGAAGAGGTAACAGGGTGAGCAAGCCTGAAGGAAGAAGCTTAGCATGGCCAAGGACTCCCTTGCTTAATCTGCCTTTTTTAAAGTTATTATGTAGGAAACCTTATTATGAAAAGGACTGAAGGGAAGAGAAGACTTAAGATGATAAAGTAACCTAGGCAAAGGGTGATTATTTCTGAGCCAAGAATAGTGACAGTAGATATGGTTTCTAGGTGCACCTCACATAGGAGAGTCTGTTTACAAGCCTGACATACAACATGGAAACAGAAGTACACACCTAACAGTTGAGTTCCTATGCCTATGGCAAGTCAGACATGGGGTATGGAAACAGGAATACACACTTAACAGTTGAGTTCCTACAGCCATGTGTATTCAGAGAAGAGGAGGAAGGAAAAATAGAGAATGGCTATTTTCTTTTAACAAAGCAAATAAACAAAGCATATACAAATATGTAATGTATACAAGCATACTGATATGTATATATACATATCACTTGATGTTTTTACAAAACTGGTTAACTGTTATTCACTGTAAAAAAATAAAAGGTAAAGGAATAAAAAATACTTGCAAAAACGTTTTTTAAAAAATACGCTTGCAGTATACAAAGTATATTTTTTACTTTGGAAGATACAGAAGGAGAATTCTTCCTTATCTTAGTACCTGAATGACTATTCTTTAGATTTTGATGACTATCTTGTGTCTATATATTTCAAAATTGTAAAGTGACTGTTAGAATATTTAATTTTTGAACTTAAGAGGATATAGGTTTGAGAATTACAGTACCATTAGCTTTCCCATTTCAGTTTCTATTGTTTTTATGACAGTTTGGGGAACTAGCCAATGTTTACAAAGTATTGTTTTTCTGAACCAAAATGGTTTCCAGATTCCAAGCTGCCAGCTAATAAACTGTAGAGCAGAGTCCAGTTTGAATTTAAAAGTCAGTTAAATTTGAAATATTGAGCCAAGTGTGGGGTTGCATCAAAAAAAAGTCCACGTTGGCTTAAAATCAACATCTGGATTGGCACAGAAATCTGCTAGTGACAATCACTTAATAGGAATTAATATATTTTATTATAGTCCTTTTTCATTCTGTCTCTTATGTACTCCGGAGCTAACTGTAAAATAGCATGTCATTATTCTTCTGATTTGGAAAGTTCGCTTACCTCCTAACAACTTTCAGAGTTTTACAGAGATAGAGGACCAATTTTTTGTAGCTGGATTTTTAATTATATCAGACATTAAGCCTAATTTGCTTCTAATATTTTCCATTATCATAGCATGAAAGTAATTCTTCTTCAGAACAATGTCTCTATCAATGTGTCTAAGAACCTGAGCTTTCCAAAACGAAAGTTAGGATTTTAATTTTACTTTGACTTTAATCCAATCTTTTCTTCCTGTGTTTAAAGGCTAAATAATTTCAGGATACTAATAAAATCAAGGAAATGGGTCCAGGTAGACAATGAAAAGCAAACATAAAGATGTTGTTTTTTTGAATTTACTGATAGGAGGGCCAGGACTTATCTTAGAGGGTAAAAGGCACTTACTACCAAATTTAATGAGTTTCATCCCCAGAACCCACAAGGTTAAAGGAAAGCAGAGTCCCACAAGTTGTCCTCAGACCTCCACATATGTCCAGAGGCACACACGTGCATATATATGTAGACACAGACACAAACAAACACAATAAATAAATATAATAATTTTCACCTAGATTTGTTAATTGGAAAGCAGACCTATTCTAATAAAAATATTCTGTACTTTTCCACATTAGTGTAGTTAGGAAGGGCAGTCTTTGGAATGAGATGACTAAAACCCTAGCCTCATCACTTTCCAATAACATGTTCTTGGAAAGAGTTATTAATGTGTCATTTGCCACAATCTATTCTCTGGAGCAATGGGAGTCATTATTGCAGTTACCTCACAGCATTTGTGGAGCACAGGGAAATAGTTGAGTGAGTGGGTCATTAACTGGCAGCGGTTGTTACTATTTTATTGATCCTAACACATGGAAGCCCTGGTCCACCTTCTTCCCAAGGGAAGGTGCAGATTTGTTCTGAGATGCGGGCCACGAAATGCCATTCTGTGAAGCTACCCCAAAAGAAAACAGCAGTGAAGAAAAGGCAATCATTTCAAGCGCTGCTCTTTAGACTGAACAGTAAGAGCAATTTCTCCTGGGGAAGGTCAGAAACCTACGTAAAACTTTGGCGGTGAAAGAAGAAGCGAGCTCAATGGAAGGATCCAGCCCCTCGAATGGCGCCAGCTGTGGCTCTTTGCCCTTGTCCTGTTGTGATGAACACATGATGGACAACCTGGGATCTCAGAGAAGAAGTAGACTGATCTGTGTTTAATGTGTGTTTTCATAGTTAATATGTCTGACATATGTAAACTATAGAGCTGTGAGACTGCCCAAAACAGCACGATATTCAACTGATGTCTCTTATATTTTTGTCAGCGTTATCTACAGGGCTTAATTAAAAAGCCAGTTCCAATATACATTCTCACATTATTATTAGGCAATTAAGAAAATAAATATTACAATCCATTAAAATGAACTTTTAACACTGCAGGCAGTATTCAGTGGAATACTGAATGGAAAAAACAGAAAATGTAACATATTAAGGCTCACTAAAATGTCTAATTTTTTTCTCTTAATTTGTTCCATGTAGGGAGAAGACAAAGACAGTCAGTTTCCAGTTACCTAGGGATAGGTCATCGGTTCCCAAAAGCCCACATCTTTTGAAGTGCTCAACAAATCAGACCACAGACCAGCTAAGCATCATTGCAGAAAAAGATGTGTGAAATAAGGAACGGAGAAGCAGAGGACCAACACAGCAAGATCTGTGTCAGTGATCTTCCCGGGAAGAACTCTGCCAAAATGTCCAGTAAGACACACAGCATTCAGTTACTGGACTTATTGACCAAGGAATGATTGTGTTGGCTCGCTGCTGAACTTAAAGGGCAAGTGTGTGTCCAGTGTTTAACACGTAACCCTGAGACTTAAGTGTGTTCTGAGTGAGTAGTGATACACTGGGTACCATCTGGAAACACTACTGGGTCACTTCCCAGATGAGGTCAGTCACAGCAAATCTAGAACACTGTTTTGATTAACAAGAAAACAGCAAACGAACATGGTGATCCTTACAACTCTTGCTGAATTGATAGCTCATCACTACTAGCTGATTTGTTCTGTGATGGATACTAGTGGATTTGTTGGGGATTTGCTTGTGCTCACATGCCAGTGACAGGAGGGAAAAGGAACAGCTGAGATATAAAAACACATTCACCAAAGAATAAAGACACACTAAGTACCAGCTAAGCCGTTAATTATGATGCTGCCCTAACTTATTGCTTGTGCACATTTACATTCGCTTCATCCTTAGAGTTTCACATTTAAACTGCTGGTTTGTTTTTAAAGAGTGAGAAACAATACCAAAACTCACAACTTTTTGTGGTTTTTGTTTGGCTTGTTTTTTTTGTTTTGTTTTGGTTTTGTTTGTTTGTTGTTGTTTGTCTTGGGGTTTGTTTGTTTGTTTGTTTGTTGGCTTTTTGAGGCAGAGTTTTTTTCTGTGTAGCCGCGGCTATCCTGGAACTCACTCTGTAGACCATGCTGGCCTCGAACTCACTGAGATCCACCTGACTCTGCCTCCCAAGTGCTGGGACTAAAGGTGTGTGCCACCAACACGCAGGCTTTTTAAAAGTAGTACCTGAGAGCCGCTCACATTATGTCACCATTAGGAAAGTTACAATGACTAACCCAACGACAAACTCAATGACTATAGTGTGACTGTTACTTTGTTTGCAGTCATTGCCCCAAACTGGACTGGCTGTTATACGAGTCTAATATTGCCCAGCAAAAGCAAGCCAGAAAACAAACAAAAGGGCGCACGTAGCATTAATATCTAAACTTTGAAATTAAACTCTTTTCCCTGACTTGTAAGAGTAGTAAGATGTCATTACATGTAATGGATGACAAGTAACATGAAGTGAATTTCAGCCATACACTAGCATACATGCATGTATATACATGTATATACATAAATATATCAGTTATTGTGTAGTAAGCCTCCAGTAGTTTGTATGTAAGTCAGAAAATCAAATGCTACCAAGGACAGACAAGTAACGGAAATGCGTGAGGACTACAGAGCACACCCTCATGAGCTCCACCTAAACAGGACCATGGTTAGTCACCTCTGCTACACAGTATTATCATTTGACCCCATTTTCAAGAGGTATTAAAATCATCTATACAATCTCTTGATTCGTAAATATTGACACATTCACTTTTGAAAGTCAAACATAGTGAGGGAGCCAGGTCTAAGCTCTAGGGGGCCAGATTTCCACTCTGATTTAAACATAATCTCTCAAGCATAGATCCCAAAACAGAAAGTGGATCAGGAAAGCTATATTTAGACGATGCCAAGAGGATGAGGATGTTTGGGGTTGAGAAAAAGTTGGGTGCTAGGAGAAATGAAACCCTCTTGGACAGTGAAGCTGAGGCTCTGTGCCTTCACAGTCTTAACTCAGCCTAGCATATGTCACAAGAGAGAAACAGAAGGTGAGAACACATAACAGATTTTGTTTTAAAACTCTTTCTGAGCTGGAGATGTGGGTCGGTTAGTAAAGAGCTAGACTGTCACGCACCTGTTGGGGTTTCGGCACCACAGAAAGCCAAACATGATAACACCCACCTGCACCTGTGATCCCAGAACTCAGGAGATGGAGGCAGGTTTATCCAAGCTCAAGGGCACCCTGGACCATGAGGTACCATCTGGGAAAAATACATATACTACTGGTCTTGCTCAGTTTACGGTCATGATTCAAGAAGGAAAGATGATCGACATGAGCACTTCCAAATCTGTTTAGCTTTCATCAAATGCTGGCCAGTGGGAAAATGTTGGGAGTGCTTAGCCTGTATTATAGACTTGAACCTCGTTATGTACAGCTACCATGCTAGGCTGTACATAAAGAACAGAGAACAATTCCCTGGAGACTTCGCTCTCAAAATACTTTAGCTACAGACAAAGGAAAGGACACTTTAAAGATCAGTCAGTCTGTACAAACACACTTCTCAACATGCTGTCCAACACTAACTGCTAACAGGCTCGGGGGTGTTCCTTCTTAAAGAGATTGACTCTTGACGCCTGTGTAATAGTTGACTTAAACATTCTGCATTCATTCGGTCTGTTAGAAAACGCATAGTAGTGCTGGCACACACCTTTAATCCCAGCACTCTGGAGGCTGAGACAAGAGAATTTCTGTCAGTTTGAGGTCAGCCTGGTCTACAGAGCGAGTTCTAGGACAGGCTCCAAAACTACAGAGAAACCCTGTTTTGAAAAACAAAACAAAAACCCATATACAGTCAGAGAACACTCTTTCTCCTCCTACAGGAATAAAGCAAAAAGCCAGTTGAAGTTTTTCCTATGGTATCTATTACTAACGTCACAGACAGTCCAAGTACTCAGTGACTACCACAGCCATTTATAAAAGGAGAGAGAGAAAAGATTATGTTTACTAGGTCTGATATTTCTGCTCAATAATTTGGAATTACTAAAACCAATGGGAAAATTTTTTTAATTTACTTTTTGCATTCCAATTCCAGTTCCCCCTTCCTCCTTTTCTCCCACCCCCCTCCTCCCATCTTCTCCAAAGAGAGAGAAAGGCCTCCCATAAGAAATCTACTAAGTTTGTCCCATCATCTAGTTGAGGCAGGACAAAGGCACCTCTCCACCCCATACCCCTGTATCTAGGCTGGGCAAAGTATCTCTAAAACCAATAGAAAACTTTCATTTATTTTCTGTGTCTTTCACAGCATATATCTCAATCCCATTTATTTCCCATCCCTTTGCATTCTCTCTCTCTCCTTGCAGCCCACTTCCAGTAAAATTGAAGAGAAAAAAAAGGAAAAAGTCTCAGCATGGAAGCTGTAGTGTAAGATAGTAAGTCACTCAGTAAACCCTTTTATCCATATGTCTTGGTTTGCAAAGAGTCTTTGGTCTCGTTCGAGGACTCTGGTTTCTACTACACTCTTGGTGCTGGCCCTCACTGGGCCTCCTCTTGGATATCCTGTTGTTGCCCTGTGTTGTGGAGATGCTGAAGCTTTGGGTCTGCAGGACCCGTCCCTTCACGTGCTCCAGCAGATCACAGATGGGGTGGATGCTGGGTGTGCCAACTCATAACCCTGGTTCTGGGCCTAAGTAGTTGCAGGGCTGGTCAGCACACCCCAACTGGCATTTTTTACTTGCAACACCATTCAAGTTGAATTCAGAGAAAGAGTAAACTTTCTGTTGACTAGAATTTTCCCTGTGGAGGTCAGATTTCCAGCCGCGTCTCTGCTTGCCCCTTTTCTTCCTCTTTTTGATTACTTCAAATTTACTTCTTATTTAAATCTTTTCAGAATTGTATACATGAGTACTATAGTACTATATTCACATTTCTACCTCCTCCCTTGATCTCTTCCAACTCCCCCTGTGTCTCCTGCACTCGCTGTCCAATTATTAACCTCTTCTTTGTTACTGATACACACACACATACACACACACACATACACACACACACACACACACACACACAAGCTGTTATCTGCTTGGTATCATGTTGTGAAACCCATGTAGACACTCATGTCTATCTTAACAGCCCAAGAAATAAAACCCTCTCCTTCAGGGACAGATGTGCAGTCTCGGTTTTGCTCATTCACCTCCAATCCTGAGCATAATTCATTCCTGGACCTACACCTTTCCTTTTCTCCTCAGCCTTAGATGTTCAATTTTGGCACAGTTGTTACAGACTAAGAACTCTTTCATGATGGAAAATTGGCAGGGGGGGCAACGAATGCTTTCCATGTAGACAAAAGCACTGGTCTCCCAAACATTATTAGGTCCCTTTAAGTCTCAGATCCTTGGTCTATAGAGTGGAGATATTCTGGCATTCTGTACATCTCAGAGACTTGATGAGCTAAATTATGCAAAATACTGAGAGTGTCTGACTCCTAAGAAGCATTAAAGAGGTGATTATCCTGAGAGAAGTAACAAGGTACAAGATGTGGTTTCAACCTTCAAGGATAATGGCAGTAATTCCACACAGGGAGTTAGGAACACCCTGTTTACATTGCAGAATCCATTTTCAGTCTCATGGTCCAATATCCTTTCTGCAGCTTAAATCCTGCACAAGACAATTTCAGCCTTTTGTCACTGTTCAGTAATTGACAAAGATTTAAGCAATGAATAACTTCATTCCAAAATTACTTGATGCTCTCTGGGATCTCCTAGCCTGGGGACTGCAGGCAGGTCAACTCACCCCCAGAGGACCAAGCAACCAGGAGTCTGCTGACTGTGCCAGTCTACTCCTGACCCCACTCAGGGCAGAGTGAGCTTCAGCCCCCTTCAGTCTTGACTTCCTTCCACTTTCCCTCTCTGGGATCTCCTGGCCTGGGGACCGCAGACAGGTCAATTCACCCCTGGAACACCAAGCAACCTCGAGTCTGCTGATAGAACTGGTCTAATCCAGTTCCCAGTCACCAGGAGAGGGAGTGCCTCAGACCCACCTGCATCCACTCTACGACCCATCAGAGTATTGGACCTGCTTGCATACACTGGAAGAGAACCTTGGACCCACGCCTACCAGGAAAGGAAGAGACCCCACCTCTACCCACTGGAAGAAGGGATGGGAAGACAACAATATAAGAACACATTCAACAGCAGAAAACCCAATATGATGCCACCAGAGTCTAGGGACTCTACTCCAGGAAGACCTGTATATCCTAACACAGATGAAGCAGAAGAAAACAACCTTAAAAACAACTT